AGAGCCTGTCTCAAAAAACAAGATAGACTCCCAAGTACGTACATCCAAGAGTGTCCTACGGCCTCCACATTCATGTTTGTACACACAAGAACACACACTCCTACACAAACAAAACTATATATAGATACATTATATAAGTAAGTTACAGAAACGAATTTAAGGTCTAGAAGAAACACAAACCCTGAAGGGTTTCTGAGGAGGGGAAGTGGAGATTTGAGGAGGAGGAGGAGAAGCAAGGTAGAAAGAACACTGATGGCAGCCTGAATTTTCACAGTGAAGATGTGCTTATAAATAGTATTTACAGGCCCCACATCTAGTCTGGCAGTGGTGGCACACGCCTTTAATCCCAGCACTGGGGAGGCAGAGGCAAGTAGATCTCTGTGAGTTCAAGACCAGCCTGGTCTACAGAGTGAGTTCCAGATAGTCAGAGCAGAGCTGCTATATAGAGAAACCCTGTCTCAAAAACAAACAAACAAACCCCACATCTACAAATCCCACGAAACAGTGAGTTGCGGAGCCCTATGTGGCTTTCTGGGCTAGGAAGTGATGTCAGGCTAACCTCTTGGCTCCTCAGATGGTACCCAGACTCTTCTGCTTCTTGGAACACAGGTGACCTAGGGGTGCAGGCTGGTCCTTGTGTAAATGCCAGAGCCACACGTGCCTGAAACTGGGGAGGTCCTGGGGGACTTGCTCACGCGTCCCTTTCGATGCCCTTCCTCCTAGGCTGCAGAGGAACGGAACTACCACATTTTCTACTGCATGCTGATGGGGATGAGCCCGGAAGAGAAGAAACTGCTGGGTCTGGGCATGGCCTCTGACTACCATTACCTGACCATGGTGAGCCCCCAACTCCTCTTCCCAACTTGCTCCTCAGAAGCAAAGGGAGGAAGGGACGGCCTAGCACGTGCTCAAGCCCCAATCTTGACCGCTGAGGAGCTCCTCCTCTAGCTGGGCCCTGAGGTGGGTGCCGGGTCCCCTTTCCTTCCTGACTGGAAACAAGTGTGTGACCACCTCAGTGGTCTGCCTCCTCTTTCCCTTCCGCTCCGTGTACTCCTGGAACTCCAAGCTAGGGCTCTGGTCCTTTCCCGTATACCCCATCTTCTTCTGAAGCACCCCCGAGGCCTACAAGAGGCTCCCAGAACAATAGATGGTTATCCACAGACTCTTGTTCCCTTCCCTGTAGGTTCCCCTAGACTACAAGCTCTCAGAACATGAGCTCTGTCCTCCCCGTCCCTGCTTTCCAGGACAGTGAGATTCGCAGCCATGGTGACATCCTCTACTTCTGGGATCACTTTTCCTCTCCTACCCTTTGACTTTGAAGTAATGGTCAGTTCTTCAAAGTCCTCATCAGTCCTCGCCTAGAACAGGGCAGTAGTTGTCTTTTGGGGTGTCCCTGTGACCAGCTTTGATCTCTAATCTACCATCTACTTGCGGCTAAGGAGATCTCACAGTGCAAACCTCTCTGATAACAATTAGTTACTAGAAGTTCAAACCTTTGGCATAGCTTCATTCTTCTCCAGGATCTGACCCTCCTTGCAGCAGCCCTTGGACCCCACCTCCCAACTCTGTCCCACCAGCCCCTGCCCTGTAAGAGGCCCAGCTCAAGCACCTTCTGCAAAGGAACCTCTCTGTACCTCCCAGTAGGGCTAGGCTTGGCCTCTTTGTTTTGTTTTTCAAGACAATTTCTCAGTGTGACAGTCTTGGTTGTCCTGGAACTCGCTTTGAAGACCAGGATGGCCTCAAACTTACTGAGATTTGTCTGCCTCTGCCTCCCAAGTGCTGGGATTAAAGGCGTGCGCCACCACCGCCCAGCTAGGCTTGGCCTCTTTGGTCTTAGCACTGGTAAGAGCCCGTGGCAGGTCATTGGCCTCTTGCCTGCTCCTCTTAGATATACAGCAGCTGTGAAGAGCTACGGGTCATTCCTTCCTAACTCCTAGCAAGGAGCACAGGTCCTGATTGTATTCATACTTGAGAAGTGCTTCCTAAGGGAATGAGGCCACTATATCCTCAAGAGACAGGCCAGACAGGCTCAAGATGGATGGGTGGTCAATAGAAGCCGGCGAAGGGACTCACTCAGGGTCACCAGTGCTGCCAGCAAAGCCCAGGTGTGCTTTAGCTATGGTGCTGTCGGGGTCAGAGCCTGGGCCCTGGCAGCTCAACAAGCCGGGCCCGGCCACCTATCCTCAAAACGTTAATTAAGCAGACAAGTGATGGGGCACAAAGTCAAGCATCCTCCAGGCTGGTCTGGACATGGGGTCCTGACATGAAATTTCGGTTTAAATGGAAGGCGTGAGCTATGCCTAACTAAGCATCCTTGTCTCAGTTCCAGTCCTCCTAAGAAGTGGTCTGACAAGCTATCAGAACTGGGAAATCTCTCCCTCTGGCTGGCACTAGACCTTTCTCTTTCCCAGATGAAATTCCTAGGGAAATTCCAGTTTCTTAGGGTCCGCTGTTTCAACAATCTGGAAGGCAAATGAAGGGGCAGGTGTGTCTCCTTAGAATACCTTCCTGTGGTCTTGCCTCTGAAAATCTCTTGCTTTTTTGTTTTTGTTTTTTTGTTTGTTTGTTTGTTTTTTGCTAAGTTTAGTTACATGGATGTTGCCCTTCAGAGTCCACCCAGAGCTTCTAAGTTGACTTTTCAGGGAACTTTAACTACGTTCCTAAGCCACCTTGGCCTTGCCGGCTCCAGCCAGGCCTTGCCGGCTCCTGGCTGGAGGAGGTGAGATCTGGGGTGACTGGGGTGACCCGGTCAACTGAAGTGTTGTCCTCTCCCGGTAGGGGAACTGCACATCCTGTGAGGGACTCAATGACGCCAAGGACTACGCCCATGTGCGCTCAGCCATGAAGATCCTCCATTTCTCAGACTCCGAGAACTGGGACATCAGCAAACTGCTGGCAGCCATCCTCCACCTGGGGAATGTGGGGTTTATGGGTAATGCTGTTCTTGTCTTGATAACACCCCTGGGGAGGAAGAATGGAGGGATAGAAACAGCAGGGGGAAGAAGTATCTGGCTCCTTGTGCCAGAAGGATCGCATGATCCAACCCAGTCTTGGAAAAAACACATCCTAAAAATGTGGCTATGATTTTGCAGTCCCCACAGTTCTGAGGAGAAGACACTGGGCCTCACAGGTAAAGAATCAGGTCATGGGCCGAGGGGATAGCTATCAGTCAGGCTGTTGACAGGCAAGCATAAAGACCTGAGTTTGGATCCCCAAGATCCATGTAAAAAGCCAGGCATGGTGGCATGTGCCTGCAGCCCCGGTGGTAGGAGGCAGAGGCAGGAAGGTCCTGGACCTCACTGACAGGCCTGTCTAGCTGAAACCGTAAGCTCTAGCACAGTGAGAGTTTCTGACTCAAAAAATAAAATGCAGATGGTTAAGGAAACCCTTCACCAACAACCTCCAGCCTCCACATGTGCATACACACCCACCCCCAAAAATTGTTTAAAAGAATCAGATCAGCCACTCCATGGTTAGTGGGGACCCCAGAGAGCTACTCACTCATGGTTAGGGTGAACCAAACTACACAAACCCACATGTGAACCTACAAAATCAATTTATGAGAAATTAAAGTGCTAGGAGGATTGAAGGGTCCTGGCCGGTGGCATCCTGAGACATGCCCAGCTCAGAGCACCAGATAGAGAGATCATGCCAGTATGAAACTTAGAACAGTAAACTTCAGGGCCTGGGGGCTGGACAGATGGCTCAGTCAGTAAGATGTTTGTCACACAAGCTTGAGGGATTGAGTCTGGATCTCTGGGACCCACAGAAAAGGCCAGGTGCACACTCAATCCAGCGCAAGGGAGGCTGAGACAGGAGGATCCCCGAGGCTCACTAGCCAGTCAGTCTAGCTAAATTGAGTGAGCTCTCGGTTCAGTCAGACCCTGGCTCAAAAAAGTGAGGTGGAGTTTGTGTGTTTGTAACTCCAGTGATGGTGAGAGGGTGGTGGCTAAGACAGGCAGGTCCCTAGAGCTTGCTGACCAGCCAGTCAAATCAAATGATGAGCCCCGGGTTCAGTGACAGACACTGTCTCAAAAAAGATAAGGTGGCCGGCAATAGCGAAAGATACCCAACATTGACGTCTGGCCTTCATACTTACAAGCACGCATGTGTAAGTGCATCCACATCCACACATTAATGCATGTACACTACATGTACTAATAATGTACACATGTATGTACCCTACACACATATGCATGCACATAAACACAAAATATAAGGTGGAGAGTGATCAAGGAAGCCACCTGTTGGCCGCTGGTCATACACATGTGCACACACATGGACATGGACACACACACACATACACACACACACACACACACACACACACCTAAGTGCCATATAGGAACATAATGTAGGCAATAAAAAGATAATAAAAACAAAGAAATGGTTTTCATAAAATGTTGAGAGTGGTGTGTGTGTGTGTGTGTGTGTGTGTGAGAGAGAGAGAGAGAGAGAGAGAGAGAGAGAGAGAGAGAGAGAGAGAGAGAGAGAGAGAGATGCTTGGGATTGGATCCAGATTCTTACGCACAGTAGGCAAGCACTCTACCACTATGCTACAGCCTCAGTTCTCAAGCTTTTAAAGTTAAGACAACCCCCTCAGTCCTGTTAGGCAGCTACTCCTGAGGTGGACAGTCGTGCAAAGAGAAGGAACTTGAAGTAGAGATGTAGTTAAGGCCGCTGCTCCCAGCTGGTACTCCATCATTGATGTCATAAATACACAACTATCTGGGCTACTAAACACAGCACAGTGGAGCAAAGGAAGCCGGCAGCCTGTCTTCTCTTGTACCAGACCCCAGTCAGGCTCACGAGCACCAGCATCTACTCACTATCCCAACCCAGTCTCCCACCCCCCAGCTAGGTCCCAATGTCCCAATGACCTGGCCAGATAAAGGGGACCATGGCCTGTTTCCCTGGTTCAGCTAAGTTGATAATGACTGGTGGTCAGTGGGGATATTCAGTCTCCTGGGAGAAGGTTCCAGGAGAGGTGATATACTCACCTGAGCACAGTGTTTGCTAAGGTGTAGACACAGCCTGCCCGGGCCCTCTATGCATCACGTCAGATTTCTCTCTCAAAACCACTGCTTCTCTCCCCAGCTGCTGTCTTCGAGAACCTGGATTCCTCTGACGTGATGGAAACTTCAGCCTTCTCCTTTGCGATGAAGTTGCTAGAGGTACTGGATCATTGTATCTGCTAGTTCAGATTCCTGTGAGAGACCTTGGGGGCTTCGGCTGACAGAGCCCCAAATCTGATTCTCATAGCCCTGTCCAGTTCCCTGCTTGTGTGTCCCACCCTCTCCCAGGCTCTGAGCCCATCTGCACTGTGGACTCCTGGGAGTAAACACCAGGGCAGGGTGAGCTGATTATTAACAATTGAAGTGGCCAGTGTACTTCAGTGAATGTGTCTTCTCCCTCTTTCCTGTACCTTCTCCTGCCTTTCAGTGGTTCTATTCCCACCCACTCACTCCCTATGGGTTCCTCTTGGGGTCCAACCCCCATACCCACCAGCATGTCCATTTTGTATTATCCCACATCAGCTGTGCATTTTTCTGGTCCAAATTAGTCTGTGGCTCAGCAAAGAAGGTCCCAGAAAGCAAAAGAAATCCTCACAAGCCAGTCACCTCCCAAAGTCCCACTTCTAAACATCACTGACACACAAATTTGTGGACCACGTGTCAACATAGAAACTCAGGGACACACATTCAAACGATAGCAGGTGCTCCAAACCTTTGGCTCATGGCAGCTTGTCTTCTCTGCGTGGAGGGGAGGGCTCACTCCTCTCCAAACTTCTCTTGCTCCTTTCCCCAGGAGACCAGCATGTTCAGGTTCACCAACAGGCAGTCTTCCATAAACATTGTAAAGACACTCAGGAGACCAAGGCTGTGACCCTCGCGGTCCTGGTTTCGGTCCAAAGCATTTCCCGCCGTCAAGGGGTCTTTGGTCGCAAGAGGAAAAGGCGCAAGTCCCAAGCCAGGCTCCCCTGCACAGGTGTGACACGGTCCCCATCCCTTCCCAGGTGCAGCACCAGGCTCTCCGAGACTGTTTGATCAAACACACCATCCCCATCCGTGGAGAGTACGTCTCCAGGCCTTTGAACATGGCACAGGCTGCAGACCGGAGGGACGCCTTTGTCAAGGTACAAAGCCACAGGGCGGGGCAGAACAGATGGATGGGCAGGTCCCAGCTCTTGGGGTAATATCCCTTGGGAGGCCAGGGTCACCAACCTGCATGCAGCCTCCCTAGGTAATGGTGTCTTCCTTTGGCTCAGAGACCAAAGCGTCACCCTGTGTTTCCCCAGGGCATCTATGGGCACCTCTTCCTGTGGATTGTCAAGAAGATCAATGCTGCCATCTTCACACCGCCAGCCCAGGATCCCCAAAGTGTGCGGAGGGCCATTGGTCTCCTGGACATATTTGGCTTTGAAAATTTCCAGAACAATAGGTATAAAGATCTTAACCTGCATCGCCGTTTCTGAAAACTGTATACGAAGGGCTAGGGAGACCACTCAGTCAGTACAGTGCTTGTCAGGCGAGCTTGAGCTTTTCTCCTTCAGAGCTCATGGGGAAAGCTGGGCGCGAGGGCAGTGGCACGTGCTCGTAATGCCAGTGCTGGATGGGTAAAGACAGGAAGGAGCCGTGTGGCCCAGTGGCTAGCCAGGCTAGCTGAACTGAAGAGACCCAGTCTCAAAAAGCTAAGCTGCATGGCATCAAGGACCAATATCTGAGGTTGATTCCACACACACACACAAACACACATGCACAACACACCCATGCACACCACATACATGCACACATGCGTAATGTACCACACACACACACACACACACACACACACACACACACAGATGAGCAGTGGTTCTGACCAAGCTTGAGGGTACCTGTCCCCTTCCCCTACCCTACCCTAGCCATTAGGCTGGGAGCAAGGACTTCACACTCCCGATTCATAATGCTGGGGTGTCTGAAAGCAAGTCTGGGCCTTTCTGCAAATACAGCCTGTGTACATCTTAACATCCCAGTGCCCAAAGAAGTCTGTGTAAGTAAAAGCCACCCCCAAGAGTCAGCTTACTTCCTAGCATTACACACACACACACACACACACACACACACACACACACACACACACACACACACATATACACGAACCTCTGACTCCGTTTCTGATCTACAGTGACTTACCACATGGGGTCAGGGTGGTAGCAGAAATCAATAGCACTGACTTGTCGCAGAGCTTTTGTGGACCATTTCCAGCCTTTCAGTTTAGAAATGAGTAAACTCAGGCAGAAAATCTCTGAACCAGTGTCCCAGAACAACTGGAAGCAGGTGCGAGCATTGCTTCAGTCACCACTGTGATGAAGGCTGGGGAAGAAAACCAGGTGGGCATGGGGGGCCGAATCTGGGCAGGTGATATCCAGGGCAGAGTCCATGGCAACAGGTAGCCAGAGGGGAAGTGAAGGCAGAGGTGTTCTTCCAGAGCTTTTAGGGTCGGAGCCTGGGCCCTGAGAGTCCCCTGGAGTCGGAGAAAAAGGAAACATGTACTTAGAGGTGTACACGCATGAGGCTCTGTGTGCACATGGCATATGTCTGGGGCAGAGATGCCTCACGACTCCAGGGCTCCCCAGGCTGCAGTGGTACCCAGCTGACCCTGCCCCACCCTGAGATGATGGTGCTGATTCCACAGCTTTGAACAGCTCTGCATCAACTTCGCCAACGAGCATCTGCAGCAATTCTTTGTGAAACACGTGTTCACCATGGAGCAGGAGGAGTACCTCTCCGAGAACATCACCTGGGACTACATCCACTACACCGACAACCAGCCCATCCTAGACCTGCTGGCTGTCAAGCCCATGAGCATCATCTCCCTCCTAGATGAGGAGAGCCGCTTCCCACAGGCACGTGTCTGCATCGTCCTCAGAGTGGAGCCTGGAGCCTGAGTCTCTCCTCTGAGGTCAAGCAACTCCATGGTATCGAGTGTGGAGGGCATACCTGTGCACATGGTTGTCACCACCTCCGCCTAACAAGCCCCAGCTCAGCACACCTCCTGCAGGAAGGCTTCCCAGACTAAGGACCTGGATGATTGTCCAGTGGGTAGAGTAGGAGAGCTGGCCAGGGAATAGCCTCTAATCTCTGTTCCAGAGTCTTCACTATAGGTCACCAATCAATGTGAACTAATTGTCCATCAATAGTGAGCCATAAGTCATCCTGAGCCTAGCTTGCTTTGCCTCTGTGGGTTCGCCTGCTGACCTCCTCATGACTCTGGGGCCTCAGCCCATAAAGCCTCTGGGTTCTTCCAGGGGACAGATGCCACTATGCTGCAGAAACTGAACAGCGTCCATGCCAACAACAAGTTCTTCCTGAGACCCAGGAACATCCATGACACCCGATTTGGGATCACACACTTTGCGGGTGAAGTATACTACCAGGCGGAAGGTGAGCACAACTCTGTGTATAACCCACTCGGGGCCAACTCAGGATACCATAGGAAGGAGGTAGTCAGGGGACAGCGAAGGATGAACGCAGACTGATGTTCAGCTCCCTTTCTGCTCTTACACAGTCCAGGATTCCAGGCAGGGAATGGTTCCACCCACTGGGGGTAGATTTCTCTGCCTCAACTAATGCAATAAAGATAATCCCCCAGGGGCCTGGCTACCAGGTTGACTCTAGATTCTGGCAGACTGACAAAACACTAACCATTGCACACATCATGTATGCACTGTGTGTCTGGTTTCTTTGAGGTTCGTCTGTGTTGATGGACGTGAGAGGGACCGACCCAAAGCCCTGATGCTTGCACACTAAGCGCTTTACCAACTGAGTTCTCTCCTCAGCCTCCTTTGTTTCTTCTGATTGCAGAAGAATGTTCTGCAGTATTATCGACCCATATTTTGCTTCTCTCTTCAACTGATGGATATTTCGGTTGTTTCCACTGTACAGCTAGTTTATATAACACAGTGGCTATCCAGGGCAGGCTTTTGTGTGGACATAGATTTCAGTTTTCTCCGCATATATCCAGCAGCGGATTGCTAAGTCATGTGTAGTTTTTGAGGAGCCACAAAACTCTTTCCAAAGCAGCTGTGCTATTTTTCATTTTTAATAGACATGTAAGAGAGTTCCAGCTTTTCCACGTGCACTTGAACTTGCGTTATCAGAGCATGACTTGTAGGAGTCTGTTCTCTCCTCCCACAATGTGGGTCCCAGGGATGGAACTGCAGTCATCAGACTTGGCAGTGGGTACCTTGACCTGCTGAGCCATCTCACTGGCCTAGAATCGTGCTTTCTGTACTCTGGCTACAAGTACCTCATCAGATATATAGTTTTAAATTTTTTCTCATTCTGAGGGTCTTGTGTCTTCTCAGTGTTGTCTGGTGGCTGTGGGTGAGCTCAGGGCCTAACACACATCCAGTTCCTTGCTTTTTGTTTTTAATGGTTTGCTTGTTTGCTTTTTAGATAGGGGCATGATGCATAGCTCATCCTCCACCTCCAAAATCCCTGGCATTGCCTGTGCGGACCCCACACCTGGCTCCATATCACTTTCTTAGTGGTGCTGAAGGTTTTATTTTAAAGAAGTCTGGTTTATCTCTTTGCCTTTGTTGCCTGTGTCATAGCTTGTAGTCCACTGGGAGGTCTAGTGTCACGAAGGTTTTCTTTCTCGTTGTTTTTGTTTTGAGACAGGGTCTCCCTAGGTTGCCTGCCCAGCAACTTGCTGTGTAGCCAGGCTGGCCTCTAAACCCCCTGCCTTCTGAGTGCTATAAAGCAGAATCTCCCATAGCCCAGGCTGCCTTCAACTCACCATGTTGCTGAAAACCGCCTTCAACTCCTGATCCTCCTGCCTCCACCTCCCAAATGCTGATATTTGCACCACCGTGTCCAGTTTGTATGGTGCTGGGAATCGAACCCAGAGAATCATGCATTCTAGGCAAGCACTCTGTCAGCTGAGTCATAGCTCCAGCTCTTCTCATGCATATTCTTACAAGAGGTTTAGATTTTACTTTTTTTTTTTCTTCAGAGCTGAGGACCGAACCCAGGACCTTGCGCTAGATTTTACTTTTAGACATTGATTCCATGAGTTGACTTCACGTTGTAGTCAGGTTACTCATCGTATTGAGCAGAGAAGCAAAGGTCTAATGTGTCGTCTGTGGTGCTTAGAAGAATGGGAAGGTGGCCAGTGTGCCCTTGTAGTCAGGAAAACAGGGTAGGTGGGCATCATCCGTAGACGTCTTTAAGTAGAGATGTGAATCTAGGGACAATCCTTGCATACTTTTCCTTTAGGAGAGAGACAGAGGAGCAGAAAGGCAGGCAACTTACCAGGAGGAAGCAGGGTGCTGGAGGTGGGGAAATTCTGTTGGAAAACTCGGAAGATGGCAGGGCGCCTTCACAGTCCCTGCCACACCCTGACTTTAAGCTCTTGAGAAGGGGAGAGTCCCTGTATTAGTCAGTGTTCCCTAGAAGAACAGAACTAGTGGAATCAATCTATATTAAAAGGGCATTTATTAGAGGAGTTTCTAGGCTCTGGCCTGGCAATGGCTGTCTCCCAACGGGAAAGCCAAGAATCTGGTTCAGCCCATGAGGCTGGATGCCTCAGTTGGTCTTTGGTCTACGTTGGGATCCTGAAAAAGTAAGTTCTAACACCAGCAAAGGAACGCCTCAGCAACCGGATGGATGAACTTGCCACAGAGAGTGAGGGCAAGCAGGCAAAAAGCAAAAGCTTGCTTCTTCTGTGTCCTTTTATATAGGCTGCCACCAGAAGGTGTGGTCAAGATGGGTCTTCTGACCTCAAATGATCCACATTTAGGGTGGGTCTTCCCCCCCCATTCAAATGATCCAGTTAAGCAAAATCCCTCACAGGCATGCCCAGCTGCTTGGGTTTTAGTTGATTCCAGATGTAGTCAAATTGACAACCAGTATTAAGCAATCATAGTCCCAGAATCCAAAGAGGACATTGAGCCCATCCCCTAGCATCCCTAAGTATTCAAGAGTGAGGGTTTTTGTTTTTGTTTTGAAGTGACATGATACTTAAGAGTGAAAGACCAGACTTAACACAGGACACAAGACCAAGCTCTCAGCCAAAGGAGATTTATTTGATCTAGAGGGACAAAGGGCTGGGAACAGGAGACAGGAAAGAGGGGAGGAAAGGGACAAGGGAGAGGGGGAAGGATATTTGCCCCAGAGGGACAAAGGTCTGCCTCTAGATAGCGAGGAGACAGATGTGGCACATAGGCACATGACAGTTTATAAAGGGAAAGGGGAAACCCTGTGTTAGGATGAGGTGTTTAACTTTGATTGGCCAGGTTAATTAGGGTAGCCAAAAAGGGGCTTTTGATTGCTGGACTTCAATGCTTTCATAGCTGAACCTTGGTGGTCAGCCTCAGGAGGAGGAAGTGGCCAAATAAGGGAACAGACCTTGGTGGCTAGGAATGTAAACTAACAGTTTGGCAAATTAAAGAGAATGGGAGAGAAGGGAAATGGCAAAAATCTGTCAGCTCTATGCTTGCCCTGCTCCAGCCTGCTAGAGCCCTGCAAAGGGGATGCTCAGAGTCAGGACACTTCTTTCTCCAAGCACAAGGACCTAATTTAGAATACCCAGAGCCCATGAAAGCCAGACACAGCTCACATCCACAGTCTCATCACCGCTGTGGTGAAATGGCATCCGGAGGCAGGGGGATCCCTGGAAGTCAAGGACCGATAGCCTGGTGTACACAGTGTTGAATAACAAGAGATCCAACATCAAAGGCAGAAGGGAAGTCCTCTGACTGCCACACAGACACCATGGCATGCTCACGCCCATAATCTCACACATAAATGCACACGCACACTCATACACACTCATGTGCATGCACACACATACACACATGCACACATGCATGCACACACAAGTTTTAGAAAACAAAACCAGGGCTGGGTATTTAGCTCAAAGTCTTGCCTAGCATGCATGATGCCCTGGCATTTGAGTCCTAGCACTTTATAAACTAGGCATTGTGGTACACACCTGTAATCCTAGAAGTCCAGGAGGGTTAGATGTTCAAGGTCATCCTCAGCTACAAAGCAAGTTTGAAGTCAGCCTGGGCCTCTATGAGACTCAGTCTCAAAAAAACATAAAGCAATAAGCAAAAATGCTAAAGTGTTTCATTTTCCTTTGGACTACCCTGTTGTACCCATGACCTCACATGATCATGGCTCAGAGCTAGCCATCTCTCCTTGTGACCTCACACAGTCCTCTCTCAGAATTTAATGACACTGGCCATACTGGGTCAAGGCCTACCCTCATAACCTCACTTCATCTTGATCATGTAAAGGCCCCTCTCAGGTTTGGGCCACAGCTCAGTCAGTAGTGTGCTCTCTCTGCAATGACGACTGGAGTCTATCCTCAGAAGTCACATTTTAAAAAAAAGAAAATGCAAATCAAAACGACTCTGAGATACCACCTTACACCTGTTAGAATGGCTATGATCAAAAACACCAATGACAGCCAATGTTGGAGAGGATGTGAGCAAAGGGAACACTCCTCCACTGTTGGTGGGAATGTAAACTTGTACAACCACTGTGGAAATCAGTATGGCGGTTTCTCAGAAAATTAGGAATCGAACTACCTCAAGACCCAGCCATCCCACTCTTG